CGTTTTACGCTCATTCGTTTATTTTAGAAGAAATTTTTGTATTGTTGTTCTTCCTCCTATTTAAATAACTTCATTAGGGGTCGCGTGGTCGAGTCGGTAATGCTCACGGTGCTTGACCGAAAATTCTTGAGTTTAAATCCCCAAATAGATGAGGCTCGATAGCTGGGGATAGCAACTCTTCTAGGAGAGACAACTCCAAAATCAAACAACTGCTGCCTTGTAGTTTGTTCTTTGTGGCACAAAGGTTATGGAAACAAATCCAAATAAACCGGGAGTGATCTCCCCTAAACTTTCTCGAATATTCTTATATAAAATAACAGGGGATGGGAACTCGGGCTATAGACATGATTTTTAATCCATTTTAAATACTTAAAGTTTTAAAAATAGAATAAAATCTCGTAGACAAATTAATTGCACACCAAGCAATAATAGTGCGCAATATTATTAGTACTTTTAAAATTTACATTAGTTTTTTGAGAAATCGGAAGTAGCGTAAATAAGTACTTCCGGTCAACGAAAAATTCTCAAAATTTGACAGAAGGTAGAGAATTAGATCTTTTACTTACATATCAAATTTCATCTATCTATCTGAAAAAGTACTCAAGTTATAGGCTTTTGAAAAATTCAAAGTAGTAAAAGTACCACTTCCGGTTATCCGAAATCGCTCAATAGTTGATACGGATCTACGATTTTGATAAAATACTTGTATATGAAATTTCATCAACCTAGCTGTAACGGTACTCAAGTTATCGTGTTTACACACGGACACACACACACACACACAGACACACAGACATACGGACAAGATTGCAAAATTATGTTTTTCCGTATCAGTGAGATGTAAAACGTCGAGATTTGCTAAAATCTCGATTTTTTTTTTTTGCACGATTACAAGACTTTCTCTATACTTCGTATATACGAGAAAGTAAAAAGAAAAGCAGGCTGAAATATGGCGCATAACATACTTAATTGTGTTGGAGAGAATCGCTTCCGACTTTTAAAATTAAGAACGAAGAAGAAGAATGAGCTTCCTTTCAGATAGCTAGTATTGGAATCAGAGGCGTAGCGACCCTTCCCGGCGCCCGGGGACAAACTTTTCGATTTGCATCCCCCCTCGAGATTTCGATTTACGCCCCCCTCAAACTTTCGATTTGCACCCCCCTCAACCTTTCAATTTATTTTTCCAACCTATTTTGGCGCCCTCTAAGGTCGGCGCCCGGGGACATATGTCCCCCCCCCGCCCCCCCTCGCTATGCTACTGATTGGAATCGTATTATTCCAAATAGCAAGCTTATTTTAAAATCAATCTAATATTAATTACACCCAATGATATTAACCACATGAGTTTAAAAAAAAAATCTAATCTGATTAAACTGTTTTGTACATTAATTGTGTCATCAAAATAAATACTGTTAACAGACAGTGACAGAAAAAAAAACCGCCTTCAACCTTCCCAAATAAGGAATAGGGCGATTTTTATTTCTCTAACATAAATTACCCTTTAAACAAGCGATAATTTAACAAAAAACACAACACAATCAACACAGGCAACAATTAATAAAAAAACAACACAATCAAAACTAACAATAATTTAAATAAACACATTAAGACAATTAAAGCAACACAATAATATCATTTTAAAAAAGAAACTGAAAGTTAAAGAAGAGCATTCTCGGAACAGGTCGAATTTTCTTCAACTAAAAATAAAAATAAAGTTAATTAATCATGACGATATATTTATAAAAATGAATTAAGTAGTCAGTCGAGTAGTGTTACCGTTTAAGGAAATCAATTTCCGTGTTGGGGTCAACACAGTAAAGATAGTCAAACACAGACGCGTCCACGATTTTTTAGCTATATATAGGTCTGTTGCTTCAATTTATATTTAGTTACTTGTAAGGCTATAGTTCTGGTGCTTCAATTTATATTTACTTAGTATTTAGATTATAGTTCTGGTGTTTCAATTTATATTTAGTTACTTGTAAGGATATAGTTCTGGTGCTTCAATTTATATTTACCTGGTATTTAGATTATAGTTCTGGTGTTTCGATTTATATTTAGTTACTTGTAAGAATATAGTTCTGGTGCTTCAATTTATATTTAGTAAGGCTATAGTTCAGGTCTTTCAATTTATATTGAGTTAGTAGTAAGGCCATAGTTCTGGTGCTTCACTTTATATTTAGTTAGTAGTAGGGCTATATATCTGGTGCTTCATTTTATATTTAGTTAGTATTAAGGCTAGAGTTCTTGTGTTTCAATTTATATTTAGTTAGTAGTAGGGCTATATATATATGGTGCTTCATTTTATATTTAGTTAGTATTAAGGCTAGAGTTCTGGTGTTTCAATTTATATTTAGTTAGCAGTAAGACTATAGATCGAGTAGTGAGTTACACGGTAAATATCAAACATTTTTCTGAAATGATCGGAATATCTTTCAAACATTTGATATCGGTACTGTTAGTTATGACTGTGTTTCTGTCAGGTAAGGAAGAAAAAATTCTTACCACAGTGTCGTAATCGATACTAATTTTCTTAGCTCCAGTATAAAGTATAATGTTGTTGAAAAAAATCATACCTCCCCACTCCATCTTCTAATATTATATCAGTTTTATGAAACCACTCCCCCCCCCCGCTCCAACTCTTGACCATCCCCATTCTAAAGAAAACGCACATTATTATTTGTTTTATCAAAAACTTCTGCTATGCTAGTGATCGGGTATCTTCCAGCCAGTTACAGCGTAGTCGGATGGTAGAGCATACGAATGTTAAAAGTTTCGAGTTCGAATCCCGTAAAACTGCCCTGAGTCCACCTAGCTCTGCGGGGTACTTGACTCTTTAGGAAGTAAAAACTACTGGGCATAGTGCTGACCACACTATTTCTTTAATGCCTAGGTCACATAAACGTGCCCTATTGACCGTCTGGTTCGTAAGATTTTGTTTTTACAATTCAGCTAACTTTGCACAAGCTATTAAGATACTTGTTTTATGAGAGGTGTAATAGAGCGCACAAAAGTTTTTACTTATGAAAGTAACACAACAAATCTGTGATGCGTATTTAGTGCTATATAAGAAGAACAATTAAACACATTTAAAGAACGGAAGTAGGACAATATGGCTTGTAAGCAGGTCATCAACTTCTCCTTCTCGTACTTGCCTAATGTGAATATTTTTATTAAATCGGTAAAAAATTAATAAATAGAAAAAGGTACTTCCTCTATAGTTAAGTTATTAAAAATCATAAAGTATGATAATGATAGATTACAAAGTGTCAACTCGCTGGTGTCAATTGAATCCGTAACAAATTGTAGTTAAATATTAATATTTTATCAATAGCCTAGATCTATCCGTACTTAATTTGCTTCTTTTATTTGTAAAATAATTATTATTGGTGCATTTTGGATGCTTTTGTTATTTTAAAATGTTTAAAGCGAGACACAGTTTTAGAAACAAACAGGCGCCTTCTTTTTTTTGCAATTAGTGTGAATTAGTGTGAATCATGTTCAAAATAATTTAGTTCGAAAATGTATAGAATTACATATCCCTGGCTAACGAGACTTCGAACTTTAAGCTAGAGGGTCTAAGCCTAACAAGCCCTATAACACACACTTAAAAAATAAAATAACAGTATATATATATATATATATATATATATATATATATATATATATATATATATATATATATATATATATATATAAATATCTTTTTCCGTGCCTAATTAGTATCTAATTAAATCAACCCGGTAGTTAATTAGCAACAGTACAACAATTCCGTGTGATGACTGACAAGTTTCTGTTTTAGTTTTCATACACTGTGGCACTTACACTCTGAACTTCCGTCACAACGATTAAGTTAGTGAGAGCGGTGCATGAATACAGACACGCTAAAGTAGCTTTTATGTTTTCTCCTAGACAGAGGCGTAGCGACCCTTCCCGGCGCCCGGGGACAAACTATTCGATTTGCACCCCCCCTCAAGATTTCGATTTGCACCCCCCCCCCCCCACAACCTTTCAATTTATTTTTCCGACCCATTTTGGCGCCCCCTTAGGTCGGCGCCCGGGGACATATGTCCCCCCCCCACCCTCGCTACGCTACTGCTCCTAGACGTCAAACGTCAATTTCTTGCTGAAAATAGATCGGAAATATCCACACACACACACACATTCTTATAATTTTAGCGGAAATTAGAATGATTTAAGTTTTAATTATAAAAACAACGAAACAATTATCATTTTAAAATCCCCCCCCCCCCTCCCCCCGCCGTCTTCAACCCTGTGGTATAACTAGATCGGAAATATCCACATTTTATTTTAATCTTAATAATTTAAACGAAAATTTAAAAAATATATTTTTTAAGAATTACGAAAATCCCGAAGTATCATTGTACGATCCCACACCGTACAATGTATCACCTATCACAAAAGTTGAACCTATATAAATACTTTGTGTATGACATTTTTGTAATTAATATACATCAACCCTCTAATTTCCCAGTTCTGTTGTATAATTACGCCATCTAGTCATGGGTATTAAATGGTTAACATTGTCAAGGGTTCGGCGTGGTCGAGTCGGTAAAGCTTATGGTTGCTAAACCGAAAAGTCTCGAGTTCGAACCCTCGGGCAGATGAGGCTCGTTAGCGGGGGACAGCCACTCTTCTAGGAGAGATAACTCCAAAATTAAAACAACTGCTGCCTTGTAGTTTGTTCTTGGTTGGACAAGGGCTATCCAAAAAAAAAAGCAGGCTGAAATCGGAGTCAATGGCCTCAATGGCGCATAACCAGTTGACACGTAACGCTAAATTGTGTTGGAGGCGTGATCGAGTCGGCAAAAAGCTCATGGTTGATAAATTCGAACAAAGACTGGAGTTCAAACCCTCTGGCAGATAAATCTCGGTCCCCTTCAACACTAATAATTAAGAACGAAGAAGAAGAACATTGTCAAATTTCAGAACTTGAATCTATATCTGTGATGTTTCGTGACGCCAATGGATCCATCGTATCATCACTTGTGGTGCGCGAGGATGAAATATTTTCCCTGGCCTGTACGTGTCAGAACGCGGGGTTAGACTGGTACATCGTACAGGCTCTCGACTGCGACTTTGTCGGCGCGCAGTACCTAAAAAAAGGCATCAATCCCGTGTTAAAGGTCAAGGCCGCGCGTGACATGGACGGTAAACACTGCACGTGCTCGGCTACAGAACACAAGCATCACGTGATCAGTACATCTCTGACGATCCATGTACAGTGTGAGTATCTTTGAGCATGTGCGAATGTTTATTTTGCTGACAGTATCGATTTCAGTGTTTCTCCCAGGCATCTCTTCGGAAAGGGGGGTGGGCACAAACTCTACCGCCCCCCCCACCCAAACGAAATGGAATTTATATAGAAAATATATACTTTTAACAGTGTCCGCCCCCACCCCCCGAAGTTTTAATCCGCCCACCAAAAATTTCGAATGCCCCCCCCCCCCGAGAAAAAAGTGTAAAAAACACTGATTGATTTTTTCAACACACCCCCTTAGCTGAAAGTCATAACACCATAACACCACGCTAATTATCTTGGTACCTATACACACATGTTCACCATGTATTCATAGCTATTTTATTACTTAAGGGCATATGCTGTTAAAAATATCACAAAAATCCTGATTTTTTTGTCATAATGAGTTTCTTCCACTTTTTGATATTTTGTCATTTTTTTTGTATTTAGAAAATAATAACTTTAATGAGAAAAGAAATTATGTGTTTAAAATACCTTCATATGACTGTATTAAAATTTTTCTAAGACCTCCGCATATGAAGGAATAGTGTGGTCAACAATATGCCCAGCCTTCTTTGTTTCCCCAAAATGAGTCAGGTACCCATTAGAGCTGGGTGGACTCAGGGATGCCTGCAATCGCAAATCTGATCCAAGATTTGAAATCGAGACCTGTGGGCTAACCGGCAAAAGCACTATCATTCGATCACGACATCCCTTATTTTAGCCACATTAAGACATAAGAAAGGAAAACACTAAATTCAACTAAAAAGATAATTAATTTTTTTTAAATCGCCCCGTTTTAGACGCAGCCCACGTGACACGATTTGAGATGACCAACAGCATCGGAACACCTTTACAGCAGGCGATAGTACAAGCAGAAGTCATCAAATTCGCCTGCGCCTCTACGGGAAATCCCGTTCCATTTCTGCAGCTGTATCATGAAGGCGAATTCGGAGAAAGGACAGTTCTAAAAAATGTAATTGCCGCTTCACTATTCATGACTTTTTTTTTTTATTAACGCTCAAAGTCTTGTAATCAATAACTTAAAACAATTCACATTTATATACAAGCCAACTAATTAAAATTGTATTAGTGTTTATACATTGTATATAGCAGAGGCGTAACGACACTTCCCGGCGCCCGGGGACAAACTTTCAATTTGTCGACCCCCTCAGGAACAAATTTTCAAATTTTCACCCCCCCCCCCCCAAACATTCGATTTATAATGCTAAAATGCAGCTAAAATAACATTTTAATTTGTTTTTAAAACCCATTTTGGCGCGCCCTAAGGTCGGCGCCCGGGGACATATGTACCCCCCTGCCCCCCATCGCTTAGCCTCTGGTATACAGTGATAAGAGTTATTTTTTTTTCGAAAGCAAACCAAAACAAACCAAAAAAATAATTTTGAAACACTGCTTTTGTGTTGAATAGGGTTTAAAGGTCAACCTGTGATGGTTAGTGCTTTAAAAGGCTGACACTGAGAGACAACACAAACACTTGTTGCGTGACAGGAACACTACTTTTTTGAAGTACTTCAAGGTTAAACTGACTACAATGTAGATGACGCAATGACGCTGATGTAAAAATAACGAATGGGACGACGTGGCCTAGCGGTAGAGAGCTAGACTGCTAACCCGAGAGTCGAGTTCGAATACTGGTTCAAATCAGTGGAACGTCCCCGAGTCCACCCAGCTCTGATGGGTAACTGACTTAAGTTAGGCTGGGCATAGAGCTGACCACACTATCCCTTCACATGCCGAGGTCTATGAATCAGATGAACTCTACTTCACCTGCCCACTGTGTCATGTGCACGATCGGGATTAAGAAGAAAAAGAGAATAATGACTACTGTACGATGATACAGTGTCATGGGATGTCAAACAAAATGATGTCAACAAGGATGACATAAGGCATGTAAACAACGATGTCATACAGAATGTCAGTGTTACACGACTTAAACAGACACAGTTCATCGAGTTAACCCTAGACTGTTCAACCGATTACTATTCAGGTTCCAGTATATTTTCAAATCTTTAAATTCTGGCACCATTTTATTTTATCTGTTGCAGACGACAGGCCATCGTCTGGTCCACACACTGTCAGCAGTCTGCAGTCTGGCGGGAAAGTTCGTCTGTAGTGGCAGGAACAGTCTCAATCATTACGTCAGCACACAGGAGAAAGTGCTGCGAGTTCAATGTAAGAGTTACTGACTAGTGTAATACCATGTAAGAGTTACATATTGTAGTGTGATACTATGTAAGAGTTACATATTGTAGTGCGATACTATGTAAGAGTTACATATTGTAGTGTGATACTATGTGTTACATATTTAGTGTGATACTATGTAAGAGTTACATATTGTAGTTTGATACTATGTAAGAGTTACATATTGTAGTGTAATACTATGTCGCTACATTTGCTGTTTTAACATACTGCTATAGTGCAGGGGTCTCCAAACTTTTCGGTCCGAGGGTCACATAACTATCAAATTTCAGTTCGGGGGCCAGTTTCTTCCAGGCATGTCGTGATTTTTCTTAGCAAAGTTCCTCAGCCATCACCAACAAACGTTTTTTCCGTGGACAAAAAGATCTCCGCGGGCCGGATGAGAGGACCTCGCGGGCCGCATTTGGCCCGCGGGCCGTAGTTTGGAGACCCTTGCAATAGTGTAATACTATGTAGCTACACTCTAAACATACTGCTGTAGTGTTATACTATGTAGCTACACTCTGTTATTTTAACATACTGTTGTAGTGTAATACTATGTAGCTACACTCTGTTATTTCAACAACCTGCTTCTATACTCTGATATTGTAAAATAAACATCATCTTTTTCCGTTTGTGCCCAAGACACATGGGGCAGATGAAGTAGAGTTCATGTTTCAAGGACCGCGGCATAACAAGGGATACTATGGTCAGCACTATACCCAGACATTTTTGTTTTCCCTAACGTGAGTTAGATTTCCATCAGAGCTGGGTGGACTCAGGGACGTTCTACTGATTTGAACCCGGATTCGAAATTGAGACTTACTGGTTAGCAGCCTAGAGTTCTACTGCTATCCTACTCTATCCTAGATGTAATGTACTACTTACATAATATTTTAAATTTATGTTGCTAAATCGTCATACGTCAAACTTACAAATCGGATAATAAACGTTTACCGAATTAGCTAACAATGCATCTATAATCTAAATTATAATTGTTTATATGAAAATCAAATACTGTTTCTATCATCGCACTAATTGAGCTGTTCTAAACTTACCTTACCACATAAGTGAAGGAGCGGAGTGGTCTAGCGGTAGAGAGCTGGACTGCTAGCCCGTAAGTCTCGAGTTCGAATCCGGGTTCAAGTCAGTAGAGTCCACCCAACTCTGATGGGTACCCATCTCACGTTAGGGATAGTAAAGACGGCTGGGCATAGTGCTGACCACAATATCTCCTCATATGCCGAGGTCACAGAAACAAGTGAACTATACTTTACTTGCCCCATAGACCGTTAGGTATACTTTACTTTTTTTTTTACCACATAGGTGATCCCGGTCAATGTCCAACCACCGGCTCTAATGATGTGACCTACACAGTCGCCAGAGACAACACAGTCATTGTAGAGTTGTGTGTTATGTTGTACACGCCTCGAGATCTGGATATTGTACTGTACAAAGGTGTGTAGACTACATATTTATATATATAATTCTCTTCTTGGAGACCTTAGAAAACACCTAGCAGGCCCCTCTCTTCCTCTCTAGGCATATCCCTACCACCCCCACCCCCACATGGTCTGGTGAGCTGTGGTTCACGCTAAATGTTTACAATCGTAGAGCCGGGTTTAGTGATAGTTATTAGGGGCAGATAATTTAGTTTGAATCGATTTTAAACTTAGGGGAGGTATGATACGCCGCGGGTCGGCTCGTATAAATTATATTGTATTACTAAAAGGTGGGAGTACTGCTTAAATGTGTACATCATGTTCCAAGATAGACTCCATTAGATATAGACAAAAACTAGTAAAAATTAACCTAATTGTAGTAAAATAAAGAATCCTCTTCAGACTTAGCGAAGCATTTGGCAGATGAAGTAGAGCTCATGTTCCTTGACCTTGGATTATAAAGGGAAGGCGTGTTCAGTACTTTGCCCAGCCGCCTTTACATTCCCAAACGTGAGTTAGGTACCCATCAGAGCTGAGTGGACTCGGACTTTCTACTGACTTAGACCCGAATTTCAGCTCGAGACTTTCGGGTATCTACAATGCGTATCTACCAAATGATATTTACTTTTTACTTGAAATACTTAATTAAACGAAAATCATCACGTGACAATATGTTGACTTGGTTCTGGATTAGTATAACTGCTAATCCGTAAATCTTAAGTTCGGTTTCAGGGACTCAAATCGATGGGATTATATTAAGTCCGCCAATCTCTTTTGGGTACCTGACAATGAGTCAACACATCCAATTGTCCGCACTAACCCTACATCTGCTGTAGCGAAAGCAGAGGCGTAGCAAGGGGGGCGGGGGGGCGGACCGCACCGGGTGACACCATTTAGGGGGGTGACATGAAGGCAAAAAATATATAGAGAAAAATTTGAGGGGGGGGGGTGGGGTGCAAATCGAAATTTTAAAAGTTTGTCCCCGGGAAGGGTTGCTACGCCTCTAGTGGGGTGACACCATTAAGTGCCGCACCGGGTGACACCCGACCTCGCTACGCCACTGAGTGTAAGCACAGCTAAACACTACTTGATCCGAAATCTTAACCCTTTGTGCTTAAACAATACATTTCGTTTTTAAAACAACTCTGTGTGGTAAAACACGTCTTCGATTTGTTCATTGTTTGTGTGGTTTAAAAAAATACAATTTAAAAACAATTTACGGCCAACGAAGTTGTTTCTCTGCCAGTTGAAGACAATGCGACAAAAATCTCCAATGTGACATACAAAACGAGCATCAGTTACCCGACTTCATCACAAGTTCGAGCCAATTTGAGGATTGAAATGAAAGTAACAGAAGAGGATCAGATAGGAGGGTACAAGGTCTGGTTGAGATACGGCAACAAAAAGATTGAAGTTCTGTCTTTTGAACTCAAACCAAAAGGTAACTTAACATTTCGTTCATGCATCCATTTTTTTCCATTTTAGTTCATTTACTTCAATTCTTCCTAAACAGCCTATTTCTTTTTCTTTCGCGTTTAATTGGCAATAGCGTAAATTATGAAGAACTGAGGTGTAAAAACGGTGAAAACCGTCATAATATTATGTGATTTTTGTGCACGATCACAATATTTCCTGCATTTCTGTGTACGAGAACGTAAACATATTACCGGAAACTTATCACACAGCATTATTGTTTTCATATGCAGAGAATTAAATAGATGGAATCTACTATATTTGTCCTTCTTCTTCGCGCTTCATATTAGTGTTGGAATGAATCCCCTCCAATAAAATTAAGGATACGTGTCAACTGTTTATGAGCCATTGAGGCCATTGACTCCGATTTCAGCCTGCTTTTATTTTTGGATTTACTTCCATAGCCTTTGTCGACGGCAGCATTTGTTGAATTTAAGAGCTGTCTTTCTCAGAACGAACCTCATCTGCCCGAGTGTTCGAACTCGAGACTTTTTGGTTTAGCAACCATGAGCTGTACCGACTAGGCCACGCCGACTCCGCCGACATTTGTCCTATAAAGGAATGTTACATTTTGATTTTTTCTTTTATCCCCCACATAGCACCTGAGTCTCTCACTACCACTAAGACAGTCAAGACAGTGAACAATTTTCTCTGGTACGTTTTGCCACCTGCCGCAATATTGATCATAGTGACGTCATCTGTTATTATATGTGTATGCAGGAATAAAGGTAATAATATATATATATATATATATATATATATATATATATATATATATATATATATATATATATATATATATATATATATATATTGTGTTTCTTCCAGACTTTTTTTTCCAAAGGGGGCACTTGAAATTTTCGGGTAAGGGGAGTGGGAAGGGGAGTGAACTAATATTTCCGGAAGGGGGGGGGGGGCGGAAACTGTTAAATGATGGGGGCAGTAGACTTCCATAGGTGGGGGGGGGGGGTCGCGAGGGTCAGAACCTCTCCCCCCATTAGTTGCCTGGAAGAAACTATATATATATATATATATATATATATATATATATATATATATATATATATATATATATATATATATATATATATATATATATATATATATATATATATATATACATAGTCTTTACTTTTTAAAGGTTCCATTATATAGTCGAATTTTTTTTTTTTTGGGTTCTGTTAATATTATTGTTATCCTCTATGGTTCTGAAATGATAAAACACAAAAATATCATTAAAATTAAACATGAAACGTCACGTGACTTTGTTTTCATTGAACCAGATTTTCTCTGCTTTCGCTGCTCCTACAAGACGGGAATACCCGACCAAAACCATTACGTGAACTGCGGGCAAATCGTCACCATGGCAACAGACGCGAGTAGCGAGACTCGAAACTCACCGGACGTACAGGAAGACGGCTTTTTACAGCCAGTTGACGGGACCTCGGATGGGATACGGGAATCACGTGATGAGCCTGTCTCAAGAGCAGAAGCCACGTACAGTACTGTGAGAGTTCCGGAGATTATTATTTTGTCTCAGACTCGCGCTTATAATGTGATGCAACGTTTTGAGCTAAACTAAGCACAACAAATGGCATTATATTTCTCAACATACAGAAGTGTAATTTATGTTTATAAGATATACTTTTGTATATAAATATTTTTTTTATGTTAAGGAAACATATATGCTTCAATACACATAAAACTATTATATTTGTGTTAATGGAACATATTTGAATTGTGGCGAATTTAATACTGGATAAAATTCATGTTTTTTATAAACCAGAGATTCATACCTACTGATTAGCACATTGAAACATGCGTGTGCTTAATACAAATATATTCATATATTATGTTGCTTATATATTTAATACAGATAATCTTATTTTGTTAACACTTTAAAATTAATCAGAATTGTTATTGATGTAATCATTCATATAGTCGAATTCTAAAAATATAGAAATACTTTGTATAATACTTAAGAGTTGCTTATTAATCCATACAATAAGAAAGCATATATCTTCTTTGTTTGATAAAAACACACCATTTAACACATTTTTACACGTATTGAAATAAAAATTTAAATATGTACTTATTTTACTTATTTTAAACAATAATTCATTTCGAACGGAAATTTGTGTTGAAAAACGCAAACAACTATTCTAAAAATAGACCATTTGCTGTTTAAAACTGACATAAATATTCCTATTGATTTTAAAAAAATCTATTTAGTAAGAAAACAGACAGACTTATTGCTTTTTAACCTATTGTAATTAACCCGATCTTTGAGAATACAAGGGAAATGAGTTCCGATTAAGTTTTGTATGTATTGGGATGGCACTGATGGTTTGGGTTAGTGTTTTAGTGTTAGGGTTAGTGTTAAGGTTAGGGTTAGTGTTAGTGTTAGGGTTAGTGTTAGTGTAAGGGTTAGTGTTAGTTCTTCTTCTTCTTCTTCTTCTTCGTTCTTAATTATTAGTGTTGAGGGGATCGAGATTTATCTGCCAGTAGGTTTGAATTCGAGACTTTGTTCGAATTTATCATCCATGAGCTTTTTGCCGACTCGACCACACCTCCAACACAATTAAGCGTTACGTGTCAACTGGTTATGCGCCATTGAGGCCATTGACTCCGATTTCAGCCTGCTTTTCTTTTTGGATTTGCTTCCATAGCCTTTGTCCAACCAAGAACAAACTACAAGGCAGCAGTTGTTTAATTTTGGAGTTGTCTCTCCTAGAAGAGTGGCTGTCCCCAGCTAACGAGCCTCATCTGCCCGATTAGTGTTAGTGTTATTGTTAGGGTTAGAGTTAGGGTTAGTGTTAGTGATAGGGTTAGGGTTAAATTTAAGGTTACGATTAGGGTTAGTGTTAGGGTTATGGTTAGGGTTAGGGTTAGGGTTAGGGTTAGGGTTCGGGTTAGGGTTAGGGTTAGGGTTAGGGTTAGTGTTATGGTTATGGTTATGGTTAGGGTTAGGGTTAGCTTAGGGTTAGCTTAGGGTTAGGGTTAGGGTTAGGGTTAGGGTTAGGGTTAGGGTTAGGGTTAGGGTTAGGGTTAGGGTTAGGGTTAGGGTTAGAGTTAGGGTTAGGGTTATTGTTAGTGCTAGGGTTAGGGTTAAATTTAAGGTTACGATTAGGGTTAGGGTACCTAGCTACAGACAAATACAAAAAATATGGCGATCAAAATGACATGAAGTTATTAAAGTTATAAGAAATGGCTCAAAAGCCGACATAAATCACACACAAGAGATAATATTTATATATGAAAGTTCATTCACATAACCAAAACAGTACTGAAGTGTAACGGAATTTTTTGAAACTGGAAAGCCGATCTACAACTTTCATATATCAGACGTCATTGAAAAATTAAAAGTAATCTAAGAATATCTAATCTAATAATTTTAATTGAAATTTTGTCTACCTAACTGAAACAATAATTAAACTATTTCTACTGGAATAGGGTAAAGTACTACTTCCGTTACAGGAAATCGCTCAAAATTTTAAAGAAAAAAAAAACAATTAGATTTTTCATAAACGTTGAGGCGGTGATCACCTTACCTTTTTTCACCTATAAGCATACTTATCAAAAACACACAGCCATTTATCCAAGATGTTCAAACTTTTTTACCCGACACTGGAAGGTGTAAAACATCGATATTTTTCAAAACCTCAATTTTCATTTTATTACACCTTTACAACCCGTTCTCTATACAACCCTACTCCATATACGAGAAATTTAAACGCACAGAAAAAAAAAAACACATACAAATTATGATTTATTCAAAAGTAATAAGAAGCTAGACATTGAAAAGCTAAACACCTACATATGAGAAAGTTAATAAATTAAAAACACACGTGAAACACGCGTTAAAACGTTAAACACATTGCATAATATACGTGAATTTGGGCGTTATAAAGTTTAACCGATAGGCTTACATGTGTAAATTTAACGCAGTGTGCTAAAAATTTAAATCTACACACACATAACTGGCGCTGCGAGTAAGTAAACATATACACCCTGTATAGTTCCCTTCTCGAACCTGAAGGTCTGTGAGTCAAGTGAAGTCGAGTTCACCTGTTACTGTGACCTCGATATGTGAAAGGATAGCGTGGTCAGCACTCTGTCTTTACATTCGCTAACATAAGTTAGGTACTCATCAGAACTCGGTGGACATCATATACACACGTAACAAAATATTAAATAAAATATTTTTAAAAAGAAAGGCTTGTCTAATGAGAGATACGTCTAGATCTATCGACTAAAACTTTTACAAAATGACACTCAAAAGTTGATTAACAATATCTATTAATACTAACTAATAAATTAAAATAACTTTTTCGGTATGCTTATCATGCCGAGAATAACCCATTGATGTGCGTTAATTTAAAACATTCCCATAATTTTTACAAATGTCGACTTGAACTTTGAACTCATATTATAAAAAATCAATAAATGTATCGAAGCATTAACGAAATCGACCAGAAAAACAAAGTACAGATTTGTCCAGAACAGATTGTTGTACAGCCTATAAATGTTGTATTCTGGCTCAACCAGCATGGCCAGGTACTGCAACACGCGAGGGACCAAATTTATAATGTAAACACAAATAACCACCAATAACATTTTCACAACTTGCCTTTCTTTAGAACTGAGTTCGTTTTGCGATTTTATCTCATCCTTCGCATTTTTATAAGTTTTAAATTCTTGTTTAAAATTTGACGATTTCTGAAGATGGTATGAAATTATGATGGTACTCACAACCATGATGGTTAAACACACCATTGGTAGCAAAAATCCAATGCATTTATAAGCTATTGTGAAAGTCTGTCCAAGATTTTGCTTGTAGAATTCCGTGTTTTGGTATACGGCTATAGTAGTATTGTAATCTGGGCTAAAGATCCATCGGTACTCTGAGAAAAGCAACTGAGGCGATAAAGAGATGAATACAAATAATGATAGTACAACGCAAGTAACAACTGTTCGATCGGTAGTCATGATAGATTTGACTTTGAATGGTAAACTGATGCATACGCAGCGTTCTATAGCCACGTAGGCACCAAGAACGTAGGAAATATTTCCAGAAATAAGCTGAAGATGGGTTAAGTTCGTCGTGCAGATGTTCTGCCAGGATTTTCCGAACGCCGGAGAAAAGAAAGAAATCGGTCCGTAGAATCTGTTGATGGCACCGGAAGTGACGCGGACGAGGTCCCAGAAGGAGATGGTTGTCATGGTAACGTTGACGGTGTCGGCGAAGCCCATGCGGACGAAGACCCGGATGCTGAGGATGTTGGTGACGACGCCGAACAGGCAGACGGCCAGGCAGAGCCAGACGTCGATGACGTATGCGAGGAGGTTGACCCAGAGGGTCGGGACGAAAAGTTCCCTGGGTCGGTCGCCGGGCGTGGCCGTCAGCGTGGTTGTGGGGATGAGACCGTCAAAAGTTGACGTTGTTTTTACCACTGAATTCATCGTTAACAGATTACTTATCACTTGTTTTTATAAAAAAAAACATGTATCCCTTATTTATAAATAGCAACATTTGTTACATTTGAAACGCATTTCAATTTCCAGTTACGAATTAAACAACAAAAACATTTTTAATTAAAAAACAAACACTTTTCACTTCTCATGTATAAAAGAAGAATTTTTACTAAACTAAGCACGAATTATACTAAACTTTACTTAAATACTAAATACGAATAATACTAAATTTAACAATTTAAATTCAAAACACGAATTATTCAAATTTAAAAATAAAAACAAAATTACATTATAGTAATAGGTTTTGTATCCAAAAAAGTTTAAAGAAAAAACAAATCTTTTAATTCTCTCCTTATTTATAATTATTAATATTATTTTTCATCTAAAAATACAAAACTAATTTCTAATCCTGTCGCGAAGTGTTCTTTGTAATTTTCATTTTACCACAATTTTAATGTTATTTATAGGATACCAAACTGCAAGTACGGAATAACGTTGTAAAGGTAAAAAAACGACGTTTGTGTGAATGATTTTCAAAATGTTAATAAAATATTTACTAAGAAATAGCAGCTTAATTTAAAAGTCAAAAGATTATATTTTTGTTACGGTATTTATATTAAAACTAAGTTGGACACAAATGTTTTTTATTTTAAATTTCTATTTTTTTAAAATTACTGTGTGTTTATAAATAATGTTATTTTGCTATTGAGTTTTAATTTACGGATTTTTAAATACAGTGCTTCAAATTCTCTAATAACACTATAACGTCAAATTCAGTAATTTGGTACGCAAGTACAATTAGGAAAACTAATTAGATTTAAAAATCTTCATTCGCAGAGATTCGTTTCAATCACTGACTTTAATAGATAGTTGGACCGTGAATTATTACTAAAAAATGTAAAATAATTAGCTACTATTATCTATTTTCTTTAAATAATGATACGTCGAGAAATAAATGGTATATTTAGTGGTAGAAAATTGTTTATATTAAAATTAATTGTTAAAATTAAATATGTTGTAAAAAAATTAAATATAGATGATTTAGTTTCCATCATTGTATGTATTTTTATTCTCGTCCTTCATGATATTTTATTATTTGTTCAAGGTTTGTGAAACAAAGGAGATTTGAT